TTTCAATTATCTTAAATATTTACCTACGAGTAGGGCTGCTGAGTCAGTGGTGGCTCAATGTTTAGATTTTTAGGAACTGCCAAACTCCTTTCCAAAGTGGATGCACCATTTTCCATTCTCATCTGTACTGTATGAATCCTTCTAAGGTCTCTATGTTCTCACCAACATTTGTTACTGTCTTTTGGATCCTAGCCATGCTGCTGGGTGTGAAGTGGCATCTCACTGTGGTTTTGCTTTGCATTTCTTACTTCTTTTCATGTGTTTACATATATTCTTTGAAGCAGTGTGTATTTGAATCCTTTGCCAATTTTGTAATTGGGTTGTCAGGTTGTGAGAATTCTTCATATATTCAGAATATTGGGCCCTTATCTGATATAAGATTTGCAAATATTTTCTCCAGTACTGTGAATTATCTTTTCTATTCACTTGATAGTGTTCTCAGGAGCCAAAAGGTTTTCATTTTGATGAAGTCCAATGTACTTTTCTTCTCTTGTTGCTCATGCTTTTTGTTACGTATTTAATCCAAAGTCATGAAAATTTACACCTATGTTTTGTTTTCAGAGTTTTACTGTTTTTGCATTTTCATTTAGGTCTGATTAATTTTTGTATATTGCATGAGGTGGGAGTCTAACTTGATTCTTTTGCATGTGGATATTCAGGCGTTCCAGCACTATTTATTGAAAAGACTATTCTTTCCCCAGTGAATGGTCTTGGCACTCCTGTTAAAAATCAATTGACCATAAATTTAAGGGTTTATTTCTTGACTCTCAATTCTATTCCATTGTTCTATGCCTGTCCTTATGCCACTAGCATTTGATTACTGTAGCTTTATAGTAAGTTGTCCAATAGGGAAGTGTGAGTCCTCCAACTTTGTCCATTTTCAAGACTGTTTTGGCTATTTGGAGTCTCTTACATTTTCATATGAATTTTAGGATCTGCTTGTTAATGTGTGTTAAAGGAAAAAGTCAGTTGGGATTTTGATAGAGATTGCATTAAACCTGTAGATCAATTTGTACTGCCATCTTTACAACATCAGGTCTTCCAATCAATGGACACAGGCTGTCTTTCCTTTCCATTCAGTCTTTTTAAATCTCTCAGTGCTGTTTTGTAGTTTCCAGTGTATAAGTCTTCCATTGCTTTTGTTAAATTTATTCCTAAGTAATTTATTCTTTTTGATACCATTACAAATGGGATTGTTCTGTTAATTTCATTTTCAGACTGGTCATTGCTAAGTATGCATAAATAACACTTGATTTTTGTATATTGATGTGGTTTCCTGCAACCTTGCTGGACTTGTTTATCAGTTCAATTTTGTGCGTGTGAATTACTTAGGAATTTCTGTATGGAAGGTCATGTCTATATAGAGAATAGAAGCAGTTTTACTTCCTTCCTTCCAATCTGATGCCTTTTATTTCTTTTCTCACCTAATTTCCTTGGCTAAAACCTCTAGTGCTATGTTGAACTAAAATAGAAAGGATATCTTTGTCTTGTTCCCAATCTTAGGGGGAAAACATCCAGTCCTCTCACCCTAAATATGTTAGCTGTGGAGTTTTGCGACCACCCTTTATGAGGTTGAAGAGACTCCTTTCTATTCATAGTTTATTGAGTGTTTTATCATAATGTAATATAACCATGTTTATTAATTATGAAATAATGGTTAATTTGTTAATCATAAATAACAAAATCATTGGATTTTTGTATTCTTTCTGTATCCATTGACATAACACGTTTAAATTGAAATTAATGAAAATCATACTATAGTCTGTTTATAGAAACTATTCAGTGTATATAAGGCTACAGTCTCTGTAATTCTTTCCCAGCCACTCCAAGTTACCCACTATTGTCAGATTGCTCTGTTTCCTTTCAGATATTTTCCTATCCTGTGTGTGTGTGTGTGTGTGTGTGTGTGTGTGTGTAGCTGTCAAAAATATGCAGTACGTTTAAAAAGTTTTTTAATGTTTATTTATTTTTGAGAGAGACAGATCACAAGTGGGGGAAGGGCAGAGAGAGAGGGAGACAAAAAATCTAAAGTAGGCTCTGAGCTGTCAGCACAGAGTCCTCCACGGGGCTTGAACTGCCAAACCTGGAGATCATGACCTGAGCCGAAGTCAGATGCTTAACTGACTGAGCCACCCCAAACACCCCTTAAAAATATACAGTATGTTTTAATAAAAATGGTATTTTACACATATCTACACACACACACACACACACACACACACACACACACACTTTCCTCTTCTTGGGATACCACCTTGGTCCCAGCTAACAATCCAGTGTCCCATCTTTCTTTTAAGGCTGAGACCAAGTCCTTTGTTTTTTGTGGAAGCTTCCAAGGTCATCCCATATATTAGACCTCTTTTCCTTTTGGCAACACCATAGGATCTTCCCCCCTCACTTGGTAAACTTTGGTGATATTTTTAGCACAGAAGATGTTTAGATTTGAAAAACCTGAACTCACACACAGTATACACTTACCCCTAAACATCTTTTGTACCATGAGGAACATTTCTAGTTCTGGTGAGATGATGGTACTATAACCACAGTTACATTTTGGGCCACTCTGACATCTTATATGGCTGTGTTTGTTGGTGTGATAAGCAGAATTCAGCTGTCTTAAGGACTACAGACAGTCTGCAACTTACGATGATTACACTTTACAATGTTGTGAAAGCCATATGCCTTCAGTAGAAACTGTACTTCGAATTCTGAATTTTGGTCATTTCCTGGATGAGTGATATGCTATACAATACTCATGATCCTGGGCAGTGGCAGCGAACCACAGCTCCCGGTCAGTCACGTGATCACCAGGGTCAATAACCAATACCCTGAGGACATTTCTGCACCTGTAAAACTATTCTGTTTTTCACTTTCAGTACAGTATTCAGTAAGTTACATGATACATTAAACACTTTATTGTAAAATAGGTTTCGTGGGGGATGATTTTGCTCAAATGTTGGCTAGTCTAAGTGTTCTGAGTACATTTATAGGCTAGGCTAAGCTAAGCTATGATGTCCAGTGGGTTAAGTATATTAAATGCATTTTCAGCTTACACTAGCTTTAGCAGGATGTAACCTCATGATAAGGAGAGAAAGATCTCTGTTTTTCATGCTGTGTGTATAACACAGGCCCCCTGTATGTGAAAGTCTTATTGCATTGGAGAATCAGGGACAGAACATCCCCTTTTACTGATTTATTGATTACATTCAAGGCTTCTGAGTATGATTTGAAGAAAGGACTTTGTTTTAAAGAAACAAAATCTGAAAATCACTGTTTTATTGCATTTTGCTCTTACTGTTTCATTAAAAGGATCAGAAAATAGAAAAGTAAAACTGCTAATTGTAGCATATCAAGTACAAGTCTCACAAATGAAATACACTGATGACAAAGGTGGAACTCAAAAAGCATGTGGAAGCCAGGAATCTTTCACTTTGGTTGGACATCACTGGACTTAAACTAAACTGCCAATGTTCAATTACAGAAGGACAAAGACCATATTTATAAAATATATACGAAATGCTGAAATTACATAGTCAAAAATTATATCTAAATCGTGACATATCACAGAGGTTTTATAACTGGTTTTTAACTCTTTGGGAACAAACTGCTCTTTATAATGTGCAAGTCTATTATTTAATCTTCACACTTGACTTTGACCCATGTGTTCACTGGATAATATTGCCTGAAACAGTAAGCTGCTTATAATAAAGGACAGTCTCATTTAACACTTAACAAATATTTTGCTTATTGATTTATTAGTTGTATCTCATTAGAATTAATCTAATTTCTTCATGGACAACTATCTGCCAGCATGTTCACCTCAGGCTACTTCTACAGCAGCTGTGAGGAGAGTGTCAACAAGGAGATGTTTGGCCTCCATGTAAATCTACTGAGACTCTTCCCTGTGGTGATGTTTACCAACTCTGAAATTAAATCTAAACTCATTCCATTGATGTTTAACACACAGACTTGGGTAGAGACATGCTTTTACCTAGAATGGGGGCTTCATGTTTACTGGATGCTTCTTAACATTGATGCTTGGCCAAAAAATTGGAGAGGATGTATACTTTTTAGCACAAGATACACATGCCACTCTCATATGTATATTTGGTAAGAATTTTTCAAAGTATATCCTTCCGGAAGGGCCACATGACAATATGGATCAGGAGCTTTAGAAAGGAACTCACCTTTTGACCTAGAAATTCTACTTCTAGAATTTGTCCTATATAAACAACCAGACAATTGTGCAAAGATGGCTGCACAAAGATGTGTATTACGGCATTTATTATAATAATGATAAACTGGGAATAACCAATAGGAAAATGGCTAGAAAAGACAAGTTTCAAAAGAAAAGGTTATTTCTAGCATATGATAAGTGTCTATATGTTATTTTGTCTTCTAAGATTTTTCAAATTTTACATTTTTCATTTATTTATTTAAAAAATTTAAGTCCCTTTAGTTAACATACAGTGTTATATTAGTTTCAGTTGTACAATATACACCTGACTCATACATGACTCATTGGTCACCAAGGTAAGTGTACTCTTAATCCCCTTCACCTGTTTCACCCATCTGTTAAGATTTTTAAGGTTTGGAAAGTTTTACACCAAAATGTCAACAGTGATTATTTTGGGGTAACAGTTTCAGTGACTCAAACATTTTTATTTGCTCCAAGTGAATTATCTGAATTTTCTATTTTTTTCTAAAACAAACACATATTACTCTCTGTATGTAAATAATATTATTTTTTAGGTAATACAGGCTAGTCAGCCCAACATTAAAAGGCTATAGGGTACCTTTAATGATAATTGCAAAATAAGCTTTGGTAAAAATACTAAATCATTTTTTGAGATGTATTTTACAGAGAATCCTATTTCTGAGGTTTGGATGTTAGCTATAATACCCTCTGTTTCAAATTCATCTAACAGTTTTCCCATGGGCACTCAGCATCACAAAAATTCCCCACCAGGCCAAATGCCATAATTGCACATGACTCTTACCAGATAGGCTCTCCAGAAGGATTGAATGATCAGCGCTGCCTCCTCTTCTGTCAGCAGGAGGGAGAGTGGGATTGCTGACCGTGGGCTGAAAAGCAATAAAATGGTCATATGCCCCTGAGAATCCATCTTTCAGCCTTGGCTAGGCCTTTGACAACATAATGGCCTCTCTGATTAAGTGCCTCATCCATTTCCATTCTTAGAAAGCAACAATACCACTTTTGCTAGAAAAGCTTAGGGTTGAGTTAGCATGTTTTATTTTAAAATCAGAGATGGATTTTGTTTTGTTTTGCTTTTAACCAGCAAATCTTAAATCACTGTTAGCCTGCTCTACTTTGAAAGGCTCAGGCTGCTCAAGCTGCATGTTAGTCCTAAAGGTGCCACATACGTAAAGGCTGTGTAGACATTAAACAAGAGAGACAGCAGGGGTGACTTTTAAATACTGCATTATGACTGACACTTAATAAAGGGCTCTTTTTCCAATTTCCTATGGAAGGGAAATGAAATAGTTCATCTCTCTCCTAAAAGCAAAATATTGGCATTTATCTCTGATAAATTGTGTGCACACTCCAGTTCAATGTGGCTTCAATTAAAGCATATTTCTTAAAGAGAATGTTTTATTTTATTTTTTAAAAATTTAATTTATTTTTTGACAGAGAGAGAGGGAGACAGACAGACAGAAGAGCATGAGCAGGGAAGGGGCAGAGAGGGAGACACAGAATCCAAAGCAGGCTCCAGGCTCTGAGCTGTCAGCACAGAGACTGACATGGGGCTCAAACCCACGAACCCATGACCTGAGCTAAAGTCAACTGTTTAACTGACTGAGCCATCCAGGCACCCCAAATTCAAGCATATTTTTAAGTTAAGTTCTGCTATTTACATCTTAGTAGGCAATAAAATATGTCAAGTGCTGGGTCAGTTGATACTGTTTGCTCTTGTTGGATTGTGCAGATTGTGACGGGATTTGTGATCAAAGATATCACATTTAAAAATCACCACTAAATGCTCTTTTCTTTTTTTTTTCACTAAAAGTTTCATAGGGGTACTAACTCCTGACAAGATCTTATAAATATGACTTACTTCTGGTTCCTTATGTGTCTCTAAAGCATAGCTTCACTGAAAAGCCAAGTTAAGCCTTTTCAGATATAATACAAATAAATGAACTTCTGGATGGACGTGGGTCATGGAGACTGCTCTCAAGGCAGGAACCCCAGAAATGACTTTGCAAGTGAGGGGTTCCTAAGTGCCCTGGCCTCAGAGCTCTCCCTAATGATAGCCATCATTTGAGTTTATAGTAACTCCCATTGTGCAGAGAGGTTGACTAAGCTGCCCCAAGGTCACACAGCTTGTAGGTGGTGGCCTAGTCGGGATCTGAGCCTAGACTCATCTGATCCCAAAGCCCAGGCTTCCCTCACAATGCTCTGCTAACATCAGACCTCAAGTGGGCAAACACTTGCAGATGCCTAGCTTGGCAAAGAATGCAAAGCTAAGTGGCAATGATGTATGATCCTCCAGAATGTGTGGTTTTATTTCCTTCTAAGTTCTGACTTAACAACAACAACCCACCTTGGTACAGTATACTTGTCTGAATGAATCATGTGTTTTTGAATTATTCCAAAATCAAAGAAATCAAAGCCAGGAAGAGCCTTGGGGGTATTAAGGCCATTTCCAGGGAGCACAGCGTTGTTGCCAGGTTCTGGGTCTTGGGCTGGACAGGTCCTTTCTAAGCGATCAAGTAAAAGTGATTCTTCTACTTCTTTGGAGAGCTAATTACACCCTCAAAGTGACAGCATTGTTAGAAACCTTTCCTTAATGTTCTGTTTCCATTTTCATTTTCATGATGTGGTGGCTTTTTAAATTTTTTTTTTTTTGGTTCTGTTTTTGTTTTTCACTTCTTACTTAATATCTGGCTTCTGGACTGCAGTGGAGCATTCATATTTTGCTGGAGGCCTGCCACCAGAGGTGCATCGGCTCCCTGCTTTCCTCATCAAACGTCTCTACTCATCCATTGCCCTTGTTCTTTAAATTTCAGTGGTGTGACAGCAACAAATCACATCCCTGAAGAAATTCTCCTTCACTAGTTGAAAATCAATGGCTTCTAGAGAGACCTTGGTGTTTGTAAGGAGGCCTTGGTGTGCTGGCAATGGATTTATGAGACTAATATTATTGTGCATTAATTTTAGCTAATGTTTACTGAGAGCTTTCTGGACTTCCTTCCTATCAGCCTGGCTCCTTGTGCTCCAGCCATGCTGGTCCCTTTCATGTCTTCAGAAGTGCCCTTCCACCCAGGGTCTTTGCAGACCCTGCTTTTCTTCTGCTTCCAATAGCCTCCTATCCCCAGCCAGGGAAACTGTGTCCAGCTGTGCAGGTTGCTGCTTAAGGACACCCAGCAGATGGGCCAGAGGACACTGAAACCCAGCCCATGCTCTGCCCACTAAGCCATGCTCATGGCCTGGGGCCACATCTGCCCTGGGGTAGGAGCACCTTTTCCTAAGTCAAAACCTAAGGTTGGGGGTTAGGGAGCTGACACTTCTTCCTCCCGGTTCACTTTTTACTCTTTCTTCCAATCTCCATTCAAGTGCTATGGAAAGGTGTTTTGTTTAGGTTAGGACCCAGTGGGGCTCTGGGTGTAATTTTTCTTCTGAGTCCTTGGCCCAATTTGGAGATAGAAATCTTTGTGGTTATCTAATTAATGCCGTAATCCTCACCTGGACTGTGAGCTCCAGGAGAGCAGAGACCAGGCCCATGTCTGTGCCTCTTGGCAGTCCCAGCACTTAGGAATTTTTCCAGGATCAAATAAGTGAAAGCCAAGGAAAACTGACCCATTTCTAGAGGGTACTTGATAAATGTTTGTGGAATAAGCTCTCTGCCTGGCACAGTGTCCTAAGCACTTTCCATACATTATTTCATTAAATCGACACCATATTAGTAATTACCTGTGGTTATCCTTCTTTTAGAACTAAGAAACTGAGACACAGAGGTGTGAAGTGACTCATTCAAGGTCACTGACCATTTACTGCTGAGAATCTTTTGGCCCAGGAAGCATAGGGAGTGGTCTAAAGGGGGAAGAGAAGACAGCTCACAAGGCCACTGATGTGGAATTCAGGGTGTCGCAGCTGTGCGTGTTTAATAGCATAAAACACGGTCATTTGCTTAGAAGAAAAAGCCGGAGAGGGAGAAAAGAGCCATAATCATAGAAAATGCCCTCTTCATTAATTCTTACAGTAATAACTTGGCAGGTATTCATTTGTCTGACGCTCCACAGGGAAATCCAATGTCAGGACAGCAGAACAAAGTGGAGTTTGTCACTTGTATCGGAGGGGAGATTTGATGGCGCCTTTCTGTTCAGCTGCAATTTCCCTGCCTTAAGTATATTTTTCTTTACTTATGTCATGAAATCTTCAAAGTAACAGTATTCCTGTTTTGGAATAGCAGTAGGAAAGGAGACCTGCAAATCTGGGGACAAGAGGCTGGGCCAGCACAACAAAGGGCTTTCACCAGTAATGGAACCCCAAACTGCTTTGCATGACAATGAATCTCCAAAAAGCAAAATGAGATTTCTAATAGACCTTTAAGCAGTAATATGAGGCCACCTTTAGTGACATCCCTGCTTTTATGGCTAAATAATGGGGTGCTGTCTAGTCCCCAAACCAAGAATAAGTATGAGAGAGCCAAATGAAAAGGACTTAATCTTCCGAGTGTAGTCCCTGGGAATTATCAATCATTTCAGCAGGCCAGTGTGACAGGATAGAAGCCATGTCAGGCCCTTTTCTCTCTTTTGGAATCAGTGCAACTGGCTTCAGGTCAAATAAAAATAGAGATCAAGTGGAGGCAACCTCTCATCATTGGGAAACTGGGGAGGGGGAGGAGGGGCCATGTCAATCACAGGAGAAGGCGGCCAGGCTTCCTCCTCAAGGGCTTACGTGGGACATCCCCAGAGCAGACAGGTTTGCATGTTTCAACCGGCAAAACAGTACCACTGAGTACATTTACAAGATTTGTCTTACCGGTAATGCTCATTTGTCATGTCCTTTTCCTTTTTTCTTAAATGTGAATCAAATATATTTGAATCTTAAGAATCGAAGCTATAATTCTGAGAAAGAACAAGCATTTATTTTTCCGATTCTGTATGTATGCATAAACACACACACATTTCTTTCCCCCTTTTAGGGTGCTAAGTAAAAGATCTGCAGGACCTAAAAGAGATACAGCATGCTTTCAAACTACACAAGGGAATCTGAAAAGTTTGTCTTTGTTAATTTCTGCATCCAGTCCTAAAACAAGAGGGACCATCCCAAAGAGGCATTTAAACAGAATAAAACAGAAAGTAGAAAGGTTTGCTTTATATTGAAACTTGATTCTTGGAATCCACATTCTATCCACTTTTCATTAGGTAAGAGATTAAGTTGTTTTCTTGGAACATGAAAGCACAACCCTGATGCAAAGCCATTTATAAAATGACACAGGCCCTAAATCAACCATCATTTATAAAGCCTTTCAAGCATCTAAGTATTTCATAACATCTACTCATTGTATCCAGAAAAAAAAAATCATCCAGTCCCTGCCCTCAGCCTTAACTGGTTTCTCAAACATTCTGTGTTAGAGGCATCATCAGTCTTGAGTAATAAACTTCAAATATTTGGAAGAAGTACAATAGAGGTTATCTGGAATGACGTGTCCAGATATATGGTGACCAGCGATTAGGATGGAATCTTTTCTCTATGATGCCAGAAACAACTCTGAAAATCAGCAGGGTAGAGCCAGCTGCCTTACTCTCTAGTGGCCTTACATTGCATTCAGAAACCATGGTTATTAGGATGTGATCTGGCTTTTGCCCCCTCACTAACTACCCTGAGAGACCAAAAAGCAGATATTACCTGGCATCAAGCTGAATCACTCTCCTGACTTAATTTTTCCATTTTATCAGCCCCATCACTGGAAGTTGCATATGGGTCTAGCCAGCAGAGCGTACCTAACAATGTGACAAGGCCAGGTGCCCACCCTATAAGGTATAACCGTGTTGAAAGGGCTGTGATACTTGATGTGTTTTGATAAATGTGTCCAGATTGCTGTGTTATTTAGTCTCTT